TTTGTCACTTTGTGATCTCCTTCGAGTTTGACCAGTTTGAAGCTTTTCCTCCTTCTTCCATGGCTTCCACAGCAGCGTCAGAGGCAGCTCGCATTGAACAGGAAATAGCGCTACTTACAGGTGCATACTATTCTAATCACCCTCCAATCTCGACTCATGAGTCATAAAACCAGCTTCGATCAACCGTCACAAATCAGCAGGTTCAGCCCCGTCAGCATCGAGAAACTCCAGAGTCCAGCCGAGGAGCAACACATATGTTAACCCGAACTATAAACCCCCTTCAAGAACGTCTACAGCCTACACTCGCCCTGCAAGCACTGCTTATACTGCCCCTCAAGCCCCAAGTCACCCCGTGCCGGGTCCCTCGCAAACTCGCGACGTCGTCATCGGAGGCGTCGCATTCGAATCCTCGGGGCGTTCTCTAGTTAGAAAAGACTGTGCGTGATTTGAATCATCCTCCGCCATATGGGCTCCCTTCTCTGGCATTCCCATAACCTTTCACATTCTAGTACCTAAGCCCGTCCCCAAGCCCGCCATTCCTCGGACCGCCGACTCTGGCGCAGAATTTTCCAGAACAAAGTCAGGACACCTTCTTCCTAGCGGTCGTACATATAAACCTACTTCTCGTGGCCGCGGCCGCGGACGTGGGCGTGGACGAGCTCGCGGGCGTGGTCGTGGAGGTCCCATTAACATGACCCTCGATAACAGTCGGCGACCTTACCAGTCTGTCTTATCTCTTGATTACTCACCATTCTTGATCTTATGTGCTCCTCCAGAGCGGGGCGAGCGGCAAGGCGCAAGTATCTGGACAAGCCATGTCCTCGGTTCACAACTACAGGTGCGCATCATCACTCAAATATATTCCATATCTCTAATCATTCTTTTGATACACGTTCACATCTGACCCATTCATAGGTGCCTGTAGCCGCGGGCTCACTTGCATGTACCAGCACGATGCCTCAAAAATCGCTATCTGCTGGAACTTCTTGCAAGGCAACTGTCCTAATACCGCCGACACATGTCAACTCTCTCATGACCCCACCCCTGAGCGTACGCCTCTCTGTGTGCACTTTGCCAACAACGGACGTTGCAACCGTGACAAGTGTCCTTACCCACATGTCCGCGTTGGACCTCGCCAAGGGGTTTGTCGCGACTTTGCTGTCTTGGGATACTGCGAAAAGGGCCTGGACTGTGATAAGCAGCATGTGAGGGAGTGTCCCGATTTTGCTGAGAAGGGAGCTTGCACAACTAAGGGATGCAAGCTTCCACATGTTATTCGGGCCAATCGCACTCGCAAACCTGCGGCAGCGATCTCAGCACAATCCGACATTATGAAGGAAGGAGGCTCTCCTGCCGACACTGACACTGATTCAAGCTTGCAGCATGCATCTGCTGAAAACGCCCAACTGGGAGATGAGTACATTTCACTAACTTTCAATGAGAGCGAGAGCGGGAGTAGTGACGAAGAGGATGACGAGGATGGTGAAGAAGACGAAGAGGAAGGTGATGAAGAAGATGAGGAAGAGGGTGATGACCCCAATGATTTAGAGGACCTTCATGTTCAAGCGTAGATACGATCTCTATATTGTTTTGTAAAATGCATTTGATTTGAATCGGAAACCTCGTTAGCACACAATTGTCTTCAAATCGGAGCAGCATGGCCCAGCAGATATGTGACTCACAGGGAGAAATTGGAGTCAAAAGAATATGTAGACCCCATGTAGCCTTCTTGTCTCTGGTGACGGAGGCACAAAAGGGCAGTACATCAAAAAAGATATCCAGTGGGCCTGACCGGGAATTGAACCCGGGACCTCCTCGAATTTGGATGTTAACCCTAACAAGGAATCATACTACTAGACCATCAGGCCGATGGATGTTGGGTCCCAGCAGACAGTCATACAGGCGTGGTTACAAATAAGGTAACAGAGGTCGAGTGACGCGTCCCCGTCGCGTCCGCCACTTACAAGTTACATCCTCCACCGACATGGACACGCAAGCCTCAACATCCTCAGGCGAGATCGATGAGCGTAGACAGGCAGCCCTCAAGGGCTATCGTGATGTAAGTACTCTCTGCACGGTCTTGATCCTATCTTACATCTACGGTTCATAGAAAATGCGAAACCATGAAGCTATCAGCCAAAGTCTCAAGAATCGTGAGCTGCAACTCTAGTGATGGTGGCTGCGTGGCGACTAATTTGGGGTCCAATATCAGTGCGATTCTCGTTGAAGGATCTAGAGAAAGACTATTCGAAGACTGAGGATGATATCAAAGCCGTGCAGTCCGTTGGTCAAATCATTGGTGAAGTCATGAAGCAATTGGACGATGACCGATGTGAGCGTTTCCAAATCAGTATCAACACATACATTAACCATGCTCTCCACCAGTTATCGTCAAAGCATCTTCAGGTCCCCGTTATGTTGTCTCCTACCGCCCCGCCCTCCCTGCCTCCAAACTGAAAGCAGGCACGCGAGTCTCTCTCGATATGACGACCCTCACCATCATGCGCATACTTCCCCGCGAGGTCGATCCCATGGTCTATAAAATGAGCTTAGAAGACCCTGGAGGAGCATCGTTCGCGGGCATTGGTGGCCTTGGCGAGCAGGTCCGCGAGTTGCGTGAGGTCATTGAACTGCCCCTGCTCAACCCAGAGCTCTTCATCCGAGTTGGTATCAAGCCCCCCAAAGGTGTCCTATTATACGGCCCGCCGGGAACAGGGAAAACCTTACTGGCGCGGGCGGTGGCAGCGACCATGAACACGAACTTCCTGAAGGTCGTGTCGTCGGCGATCGTGGACAAGTATATCGGGGAGAGTGCCAGGGTAGTGCGTGAGATGTTTGGATATGCGAAGGATCACGAGCCATGCGTGATTTTCATGGACGAAATCGATGCTATTGGTGGGCGGCGGTTCTCTGAGGGAACAAGCGCGGACAGAGAAATTCAGCGGACGCTCATGGAGGTTCGTTCCTTTTGGCATGCCCTCCTGTTTGCGTCATGACTGATCGTCTCCGTAGCTTTTGAACCAAATGGATGGTTTCGACTCTCTCGGTCGCACAAAACTCATCATGGCCACAAATCGACCGGACACACTGGACCCTGCACTTCTCCGGCCAGGTCGTCTCGACCGCAAGATAGAAGTACCGCTCCCCAATGAACAAGCTCGTCTGGAAATTCTCAAGATCCATGCGAAGCCTGTAAACAAGGGCGGTGAGATCGACTATGAGGCCATAGTCAAAGTACGTTTCTTAAACTAGATCTTTTTGGGGAGTGGGTCTAAATGAGCATCTAGCTCACCGACGCGTTCAACGGTGCCGACTTGCGCAATGTGGTCACAGAGGCCGGAATGTTTGCTATTCGGGACGATAGGTGCATCAAGGGCCACTTATACGTCTTAT